GCCAATATTATGGCTACTGGAGCAAACTTCAAAGGTGAGCTTTCTCAACTAAAGCTTCTGGGAGAGCGTGCGGGAAATTGCAGCGCAAAATTTGAAAGTCATCGTGAAATTGTGAGATGGAAATACATGTCGCTAACAAGCCACATAGCGCCGAGTTGGTTATAACAAATTTCGTATCCAACAAGCGCGAGGAGTGGAATACTTGCTTTATAAATTTCCAATTTCGATTAGGCAGTGGAAATTAACATTTAATTTTATTCAAATTTAAGTGATCTGGAGTCAATGTTACTTCCGAGCGCTAAAAGAGCAAAACTTAAATCGAATGAAGTGTGCAACGCTCTACGACCGAATGAAAATTCAACACTGGCATTTAAAAATGTTTTGCGGTGCTGTGCCAATATTATAGCTATTGGAACAGATTTAAACTGAGGTGAGCTTTCTCAAGTAAAGGTCCTGGTAGAGCGAGGAAATTGTAGCGCAAAATTTGAGTCATCGCGAAATTGTGAAAGTAACAGGTTGTTCTTTCTGTTGTGGCAGCGTTATATTTTTCTGGACCTAAAAAGGTTGATGTAATATACAGCTTTTTATCTATTTCCCATTTTTAAGTTGAGAAGGTAAAACAAAGATGATATAATTATATTTATATACGCCCGTCAAAACCGTTGCAAATTTGAATATATATATATATATATATATTAAATATATATACGTTTTCCTTTCTCATCAAAAATATCTTTTTTCTTCGGCGATGTTGTATGTAGGTAGAGCCTGGATTTTAATAAAGTTGTCTTAACAGTATTAATTAAATAGATCAGAGCACCAGAAATGTAAAATACGTTGTTTAAAATTTCATAATTATGTAAATAGTCTCTCTAGTCTCGAACGGAAGACATTTGCATCAAAGTTAACATACATTTGTTCTTCTGCTCTAACGAACTCTGTAAGCTTTCTTCACACGGCTTAAAGTTCCTAATTTAAAACAGGCGGCTTCGGCTTTATTTATGCTAAAAGTACTCGTAACGCAAAGCGTTACGTGGGTTTTGTATTAAAATGGCTTTGTCGTAGCCGGACCATACTAAACTATGCGAGTGTTGACATGTAAGACAAACTACTGAAATAAAGATGAATATATAAAGGGGTAAGTTACTCAAGAAGTTTTGGTGCTGCTTTGGTGGGGAGTATTACAAGGTAGTTTGGTTTTATCAACTTAATTGATAATGTAAATCAGCCACCGTGAATAGTTTCTAAAGCTGACGTTACGAGCGTTAACCCTACGTCAGAGCGAATGACGAAGCTCGAAATGTCAGCTTAGAAACTTTTTAGGGAGCCTAATTCAATACATTATAAACTCAATGTACCAAATTATCTTATTGAAAAATAGGTTTTAACATTAGTGACGGTTACATTAATAATGCACAGAACAATTAAATTTTCAGACCAACCAAAAAATTACGGATCCATTTTTCCATGTACTAAACTTCATAAACAAGAGGCTGCAATGGACTTCACTAAGGCTTACCTCTATGCTGGCATCATGTTTTGGTTTGTAGTTATTAGTTCATATTCACACGTGACGACCAATAACGCCGTAAGTTATCATCCTTGTAAGTCCGTAAGTGGGTAAGTAAGTAATTACTCACGAAGGCCTAAAGACTTTCGCAAAACGGCGCGCTTTACATAGCTATTATTTTGACACTGTTTATTTTTATACTCTTTACTTTATTTCTGTTGTATCCTTTTTTCACTTCAGGAAAAAAAAAACAATTATTATATTCGATTGCCTGACTTTGCACCGTGAGACAAACGATTAAACTTTCATTTATCTGATCAAAAAAACAAATAAATAAATGCTTGGAGTGAGTTTAAACGTGAACATAGAGCGTAGTATTGCACAGTGTTTCGTGCCATTTCATGCCAGTCAAATGTTTCAAAGATTTCCTCGATGGATTTGCGTTCCAGGCATGTTTGGCTATGGACCAAAATAGTTTGGGAGGAGTTTAACTGCCTCATTTGGGTTGTGTTTCGTGCAAATATTTAATTTTTGGGAATCATAGCTCAGTTGCAAAGTCAGTGAATAAACGAGCAATCAAACAAGCTCGGAATTTTGTGGAAAATGTTCAAATACCCTGTAAACTTATGAGCATTTGCTTTTTTTTACTGTCAAGGAATCAATTTTGGACTGCAGTGTTATCTTCATCTTAAAGCCTGATTATTGAATTGATATTATCGACATCAGGATTCCACAATTTTGTGTCAAATTAACTGAGGTCAAATGGACTAAATTGAGCGACAGAGACTCTTGGTGTACAAAACCTCAGATTCATCAATGGCACGCATTTGGGTCCATATAGGAAGCAGGATGCAGCTGATGTCTGCCATTCCAGGTATCAGTTTCCTGCTGGGTGTTACCGAGGGCCGCGGCTACCCCCATGGTGGGGGCAGCGACTATCGCCCCGTGCGACGCCGTGTCCCGTGCCAAAGGTACATTGTAGACTGATGGGGGAGCTTACTTAGGACGGGATGGTCGGTTTTCCCCAAAACCAACAGCTACCTTCGGGGGATTTTGGAGGAGTGATTCTAATCATCTCTGAGACGAAAATGTTGTACGCCTAGAGAAGGGATGGTGCTGCGATGCTGTGCTGCCCCAATATGCGGATCAGACTGCTCTCTACCTTTCTTCCTCTTGTACCTCTGATCTGCTAATACAATTTTTTACGCCCTTAGGTGGTGCGTTGGGATTTTTTTCAGTATTAAAAGCTGAGTATTCTGACCTTGTCGAAAGCTTTAGATCAACTTGGGCGACCAGTCATTGATTGATCAACTAGCTGAGTGTCTATCAGCGAAGAATTGTCTTCCAACAATACTGCCTAAAACAGTTCAGAGCCACTTAATCAAATTTATTTACTCTTTTCAGATATATCGTCTGGGCTCTACGTTGCACTAATTATTTTATGGTGTGGCTATCTCAAGTTTTTGAACAAGATAGACGTGGGAAAATGTTGCCATCCACAAGATCATCCCAGCTGTTATGAATACCGTTACGATGAGAATGTCGCCATTTCCTTCGACAAATAGGGATGGAGTACATGCAAGAGGGATGATTATTATATGATCGGTTTCTTCAAAAGTGGCTGCGATCAACTCTGTTGTATTGAGAAGTTCAGAAGTTGCAAGATGAAAAATGATAACATCATTCAGTGTTCTTGTTCAGTTAATGCTAAAGCACGAAGTGCCTACACTATACTTTTTAAACACATCTTGTCTCTTTCAGAAATCGTTGTCTGTGCCAGATGGAGGAATTGGAGAGACTGGAGAGATTGCAACGCGGTCTGTAGAGACGGAGAAGAAGAGTGCAAGCGCACTTGTACCAATCCCACTCCGTCTAAAGAGCAGGCTCGGTGTTCAGGACCCAGAAAAGAAACGAGGCCGTGTAATACTGGACCGTTCCACGGTTGGTAAAAAAGATTTTTGAGTGGTTTGCTCATTGAGCCTTTCAAATTTAGTTTATCCCATCACTGGAAATGATTTGGCGAGTACTGAAACAGGTGTGGGAAATACAAGGACACGTGTAAAAGATCTGAAGAGTTGTCAGTGCGGTTTCTTCATCTAAACATCCATTTTTGAGGCTGTGGCCACTCCCCTTTTCTAAAAGTTATCTTTACTCACTCTGTACAGCACCGTTCTAACTTTTTGTCCTCCTCCTTATTTTTATCACAATTAGTTTGCTCAGAGAGTTGAGTTCATTATGGAAGTCCTCTACATTCCAACCAGGGAATGGAAAGACGCCATGAGATACTGCCAAAAATTTGGAGGATAACTCGCTAAAATTACATCAACCATCCAAAATCAGTCTCTCTTTAACCTTCTCAAGAAGACGGCGAAGTTGACGGCTCATGAAGCATGGATAGGACTTCAAGGAGGAGGAAACAACAAGTTTTACAGGACAGATAGCACACCGCTGACTGACCACACAGCATGGTGGTGGTGAACCATACAATGCAAACAAGAAATGTATGCACCTGATTGGGAAGTATTGCGGACATATTTCGACCAGTGAAGTGGAATGAAAACAGTTGCATCCTTCCAACTGAAGCTGGATTCATTACAAGACATGCACCTGCAATTCTTTGCCAGAAAACGCAAAACTAGAAGGAAGTACCCTCGCGTCTTTAGTATCATGGCGATGAAGAGCAGTACATTCTCTTGGCTTACTTAAAACATGGTAAATGGCGACGGAATTTCATATATATAGTGAATTTCATATATCTAAAATCATCATTTATCGCTTGGATGGTTTATTTGGACCCGACACATTGACCAGCTCCCAGTTGGCTTGTTATCTCAATTGGTATAGCGCTGCACCGGTATCGCAGAGCTCATGGGTTCAAATCCCGTACGGGCCTGAACTTTTTCAGGTCCTATTTTCAACTACTCGTTTCAGTAATGTTCTTAGCTGCGAGGATCTCTTAATTTCATCTCTTCACCGCAGTGCAAATATATGAATTTCATATATCTAAAATCATCATTCGGCGACGGAATTATTCGCTAAATCATTTGCTCCCTTCGTTCACTATAAAGAACGCTCCGTTGTCATTTTCAATCACCAAAAAGGCGTGATCCCTCTGTCTGCACTGAAAAGACTCAAAACGTTCTGCTTGTAGCATTTCTGACTCCTAAACCGAGGAAGTGGACGTGACGGAGTCAAGTTTGGCGGTTTTAAAAGGGCATTCCGATCGAATGTCGTAAAACCAAAAGGGTGATAATCACAACAGACAATTAGAAAATTTCTTAAGGAGCCGATCAGAACTGAAGGTAAATACAAGGCGCCTAAGGCGCGGGAAAAAGCGAGGCACTAGGTTCCGTTTAGTTTCAGTTTTGCATCTGATTAGTTGAGAAAGTGGTGCGAATTTTCTGAACCAATCACAGAGCGAAGTAAAGCGAAACCAAGGGTATCCCGTACAACTTTCGACATTGATTTAAAAATTGCTTTATTTTTTTTTATTGATCGAGAAGTTGGCGAGGATTTTGTAGACCACGCACACAACAAGTCAAAACTCAAGTGAAAATTGCATTTAGCAAGAGGACAATGTCATTCACCCCAACAACCACAATCCTTGCTCTAAAAGCACTTATACTGGGTTTTACTTCCTATACTATGTACAAATTTGGTGAAATGGCAATATTATGCTCAGTCTTGCCAGCTTGACAGTGCACATTCATTTTTCAAGTACAAATTAAGATAATTCGAGTTGCTCGAATTTATTTTTTTCTGTATTATTCGTAAAGAAAATTTTTCTGTTGTTTGTGATTTAAACTATTTTTCCTGAAAAAGCATAGATTGTTTTCTTATCGCCGTGGGCTGAGACAAGTTCATTTGAACCGCTGACGAAGTCGTGAGAAATACTTCACGTTGCCTAAATTCTCCCGTTACAGAACAGTTTGCAACTCGCAACATCGACTGTTAGACAAATTTTAAAAAAGAGTCCGCTCAGTCAATAACAAAAGAAAATTACAACAGAGATCAGTATGAAAAGTCGGTTCGTCTGTCCTCAATCATAGACCACACTCTGTGTTCGTTAACCTTCCATGCTTTATCTCTCTATGTGTAATTGTAAACCGCAGAGGGAAAAGAGGTCTTTTACTCCACAGCAGAAAGTTCTGACATTAGAATGACCCCAGAGTTATTCTTGATGCAGTCTCTCAACAAACTGGACAAAGCAGCGTTGTCTGAAAACTTCTGGTTCAGAACAGAAAAGAGAAGGGCAAACTGAGATTGATGAACAGCCCTGCGGGTTTCATCTTGCGAATCTAAATGACAATGAAAAACATGAGCTAGCAAAACATTGTTCATCATTAAGCAACTTGAAAGTTAGAGAAATTTTCAATTGAGTGTCGAAAGTGAAGTTATAAGGCGTTGCTTCGGTTTTACTAAACTTTGCTCAATGATTGGTCCAGAAAACTCGCGCAATCCTCTCGACCAATCAAATTTAAAACTCAATTCAACCGCGACTTGGTCATTCATGTTTTCCCGCGCTTCAAGCAATTTCCTTGTTTTTACTTTGAGTTTTCATTGGCTGGCTTCTGATAAGGTAAAGCTTTTTTCTGATTGGACACTGGAATTACCTTGGTATTGGTTTTCGACACTCAACAGGAAATTTCTCTTATCACCCGATGGTGTGGCAAGCCGTTGTAATCTTATCCCTCCCAATAGGGTACTTGTTTGCCACGTTTCCTTTCCTTCTCATCTTGTGAAAAAATCCTCGAATCTGAGGTCCTCTGTTCGAAATCAACCCCGCCGTCTTTCAGCTGGAGTTGTGCTATTGAAAGCCCTCCCTTTGACTTTCACAAAATTCCGGATCTATTGAAGTACTGTGTTGTGTAGGCAGCGACATATTACATAACGAGACATTTTGGTCACCATGGCTTGTGGTTGAATATTGAACCATTATCCGTTCAATTCTCAATACCTGTCTGTCTGCATCCTTCGTGATATGCCAACATCAAAGAACAAGATGCTCTTCCAATCTCAACAGAAGTTTCCTTCAAAATGTAAGAAAGATACCACAATTAAACTTTACTCAATTGATCCAAAGCTTCGTTAGTTGCACAATTTTCTGCTGTTCATGTTAAGCAGTGTGCTTAACCGATCAGTTTCACTCCCTAGACCTCCTTAGTAATTCTCCTTACTGTCTGCCATACAATTCTTGTGATGACAGAAAAGTAGAGATGGTAAGTTTTGAGCTCGGTGAAGAATTAAGAAAGATGTTTTTTTCGTCTTGTCACGAGCGTGGGACAAAGAAAAAATTCTGAGTCCCCGTGAGGAATCGAACCTCAGACCTTCGGATTTGCGCTCCGATGCTCTACCACTGAGCCACAAAGACTCTTCGGTGAGCGGGGTCTATTACGAAGTTCTAATGACATCTTTCTTAATTCTTGTGATGTTAGTTCAGATAATTTGGTATTGGATCAACTAATGATCCCCTTGTTGATGTTTTTCTTTCTTCTCATCACTTGCCTGCTTGAATTTGCATTGATATAGTTAGAAGAAATTATGTCTTGGTCACACATGGGAGTTAAAGAATTATAGGTTTTAACCAGCACTTGCAATTCCCTTCTGTTTCAAACTCTTTAAGGGACAAAAAAAATAGTCACACTTTTTGTCTTATCAAACTGTTTCCTGCCATTGCACCTTGAACGCTTGCATATTCACCAGCAGCATGTTCTTTTTAAGCTACAAAGCTGATTTCCTTCCAGCCAAGAAACCGCTGGGAATTTGTTTTCAGCGCGCGAACGAAAATAAACAACAGATTTTAATCTTCACTAGGAAAACACAGAAAGATATGGAAAGATCCAACTGAAACAATTTGGAAATAAACGATTTCCTGTCAATAATACACCTTTTTCTACCGGGAGGAGGACCAATAACTTATAGCAAGCGAGCAAATAGTGGACGTAACAAACAAACAAACAAACAAACAAAAGGAGAGGAACGTTTCGAGTAACACCTTTCCTGTAAGCATCTAACCTCGTCTGTGACGCTTCCCAAAGCACCAATGTAACACTGCTCGACCTCGTATCCACGAACCAGTTGTTTGTCCATCAGCGTAAGAAATAAATCTTGAAGACTATCCCACACGACCTGAAATTACACCAGTTACGCCGCTCAATCAGACAATTCGCACCACAAAAAATGAACAATATTTCACCCTTGACTCATTTGCAGTAATAGCGTTTATTTGCTACATTCAAATACTAAAAATTTCATGGAGGATTTTAGCCGCTGTCCTTACACAACGAGGTATCTGCAACGCGAGAGATCCCCGTAGAATGAAAAGTAACTCGTTCGTTTGTAACAACAAAAAAAGGAATATTTATCGTTGATTTAACTCCATACCCGTTTGTTCTCCAAAGACATGATCAGGTTCACGTGAGGAATGGAAAGCAGTCCTGCAAAGGGAACCGCCACACGCCTTTCTACAAGGAAAAAAATTCACCAACATCAAACCATATATTAATGCCGAAACCTAAAATACTGTTAGATGTCTACAGTAGGGGGTTGCAGAAGGGCAATCACTTTTAAAAGTAATGTGGGACCTAACGAGCAATGATTGCACGTTATTTCAAATTGCGAATGTAAAATTTGAATTTGTCACTTAGATCCTAGTTGTTTACATACTGCGGTAATTTATGTTTCGATTGATTCGAAGCATCCACATCTGACCCCCCAGGCAACCCCCTCAATCATTTGAACTACTGAAAATTGGTTCGTTCAAATTCCCGTCCCGTTTAGCCAAAACTGTGTTCAAATGCCCTACCAAGTGCCGGATCTGATGGAAACGACAACGCATTGTAATCAAATCAGAGCCACAGATATTGTCTCTTAACCTTAAACGTCTTAGAGGGAATAGCATCCAATTTCTCCCACGTTATCATTCTCGATTCTTTCATCAAAGTCATGAGAATGAAAGAAATAATCACAACATGGATTCTCCTCGAACGTACCATGAGAAATGTATTGAGAACGGTATGGAGACTGTGGATACTAATGATCAGATGTTGAGGGCTAAGGTACCTTTTAACTTGCTCCATAATAGGCACAGGTTGTCGACGACATCACAACAATTTTGTGCGCAATTTTTTGTAACAAATTTCACCCCGTGTGCAGATCTACACGCTGTTGAGAAGACGAAAACAATTTGTTAGCGTCGGTCTATATAGCAAACGACATGAGTGAAACACGATCTAAATTTTAACAACAGATCTCTAGAATTCAAATATTGGCATAGATTGGCAGCGTATTAGGCAACGATCAATTCGAAGCTTCAACACCCCCCCGGCAACCCACGGGCATCTGACTGTGGCTTGGGCCCGGGAGTGGCGAATTTGAACCTCGTCTAGGTAGGACGGGAAATTTGAACCGGATCTGTCAAAGAGACCAAGTTAGCGAGGTATGAAATTGTAATAAGAAGCCTTTTATATCGTTGGCAATGCCAGAGGGCAATATGAAGTGAATCCTGTGTTTTGATTGGCTACCCAAGCGGGCAAGATGGACCCATCTTGTCCACCCGGAATTGCCCGCTTTGACCCTGCCCAAGAAAAAAGAAATTACTCGGAGCGTGATTTTTGAACAATGTCGGCGATAGAGTCGCAAAAAGTGGCAGAAGACAGTCAAAACAAAGAAAACATAAACGACTCTCGTGGCTTTATTGGGTCACAAAAACAGTTGGTTTTCTTTTCCGTCTCTCGAAATAAACAAGTCTCAATTTTTAATAAAGCGACAATCCTTTTGTTATAGACAATCTTTTTGTTATATAATAAATGCTTCATTGACCAAGCTTGTTCGGTCAAGATGGCTATATATTAGCCGCGGTGTTTTTTCCGTGTTCATGGACCGAGATGAACCTAACGCTTGGTTAAAAACGCATATTCAAAGTACACTAAAATGCCTTCCACGCGGAGGTGTAGTAAAATGGATTATGCATTCTGATCTCCATCGTCCAAATAGGATGTTACTTTGTTACTAATAAACATAAAGCAATGAGAGGAAGAAGAATTCACTTCGACACTCACCTAAAATAAAAACCAATTCAACAGTAATTTGCCCAATCAACGCCACCTGACCCTGAAAATCAGTGAAGCGAAACTGTGAGGGAAAACAAACTCGTGGGTTGCACAAATAATAACGTCACTACAAACAAAGGGCCCTTGCTCAACGCTAGAAAATGTGGAAGAATAATGGTTCATGTCTTCTACACAAACCACGGCTACGAGATTATAGTTTCGACAAAGATTTTGGATTTCGCGCGATTGAGCACAACAATTAAATCTTTAACCCCCTACGAGTGACTAGCTTCTGATTTCTCTTTACTATGTCAGCCATGATCAAACATTTGAGTTGCGGGAATAAAGGAAATGATAATCACTTGCAGAAGCCGTTGATTGTTAAACAGTTTCTCCTTATCAGCCCTTTAAGAAATGTATAGGGAAAAGTATGAAGAATATATATGCTGATGTTAGGGCGTAAAGGATTCAATCTCTCTGTAGGACTCCGAGCGGCCACTGGCGAATCTGCTCTGAGAGTCACTAAGCAAAATACTTTTTACATTTAACCTTCATGATTTTTACCGAAAAAATAATCCCAAACCTCGTCCATCAAAGCGTACTGAATTGCCCTAACAGCGTCTTCTGCCTCAGATGGTATCTCTGCAACGAAAAGAAAAGGACAATGACCTGTCAAAAGATTGATACCTCTACGCTTGAACTTCCATGGTATTTACAGTTTAGTGCGTTGACTTGTTCTTCTTCATTGATCTGAGATGGAGCCTTACTCAGCGAAATCTCACTTCTCCATAAAATGTCGAAACAAATTCAGCAATTATGATACGAGATTAAAATACTGATCATCACGAAAGTTCTAAGTATGCAATCGTATTCTCACAGCTCGTAATCGTAAAAGTATTTTACGCACAAGAAGGAGAAGATGCATGTTGAAATCAAAGACTTACATACCATTTGATGAATGCAGTGCAAGTAATTTTGATTGTTCTGAAAGGACCGCCTAAGAATGGAAATTAAGTAAAAAGAGAGTTTTAATCGTTGTAATTCCAGGAAGACAGTCAGGACGATAATAAATGAGAAGTTTGTATATTCTGTAAGTCATACGGGCAACCAGTCTAATAGTCAACAAAAGCGTCGCTAATTCAGCCAGCCAGTCAGTCAGTCAGTTAGTCAATCAGTCAGCCAGCTACTCAGTCAGCCAGCCAGCCAGCCAGCCGGTCTGTTAGTCAGCCAGCCCGTCAGTCAGTCAGTCAGTCAGCTAGCCAATCAGCCAGTCAGCAAGCCCCACATTCAGTCAGTCAGTCAGTCAGTCAGACAGTTAGTCAGTCAGTCAGTCAGCCAGTCAATCAGTCGGTCAATTAGTCAGCATATTACCAACATGGTGACGAGAAAACAAAAATAAATTAGTTGAATGAAAAGCGCGTTACGTTACGAAAGAAAAAACTTGTCCTTTCATTCATAACGTAGAGAAAATGTCGGAACCTAAGAGATCCATTAAGATCTCTAATTACTTCACGTGCACCTCCACTAATGTCATCTACTGCATAACTTGTACTTATTGCAAAATGAAACAGGAAGACGACTAGGTGGCCGATTCCGAGATCACCTTTGAGACATAGAAAGAAATGACAAGGACGCATCCAAACCAGTCGCTAGACAGTTTAATCTCCCTAATCAATCTAAGCGGCATATGGCAGTTTGCGGCCTTTCCCTACATCTCGGCAGTTCAGAAAGCCGCAAACTCTGGTACAAAAATTTATCTTTTCAATCGGCACACTTAATCCCCACCGTATCAACGAGCGCTTTAAATTCAACTAATTTGTTCTTGTTTTCTCGTCACCATATTCCCAGCAAAAGCATAGCTCCATTTTCTGCATATAAACACACACAAAACCCACAATTCCTCCAATCGCTCCGACAAGGAGCTAACGCTTAAAATGTTAGCGTTGTAACTCTTTATGGTAGCCAATTTACGTTATCAACTAAGTTGATAACACTAAATCTCCCAGACACCCAGTAAGCCGGTCAGCCAGTCAGTCAGTCTGTCTATTATTCTGCCCTTAAGACAGTTAAACAGTCAGCGTAAAAATCAGCTGGTCACTCGGTCATACAGCCTGTCCTGTCTGTCCTTTAGAGAGCCAACTGTTAACGTGTCAGAGTTTTGTCAGTCAGTTGATCAGTCAGTCAGTCCTTGAATCTGTCAACCGCCGAACCACTCAGTCAGTTGTGGTTACTCCATAAAATAAGTTCGCTATACCTGTAACACCTTGATTTTCATGGCAGGATTTATATTCTCGCCTGATACTCCAACTGGTTCACAACATTTCGCGTGCCTTTCACTCCTAACTTCAGATATTTTTGTCATATCTTTACTGAGTGGATCAGGTTCTCCGTTCCCATTCTGTTCCTTGGTTTTTAAATGCATAATAGAGTTTGCTATCTTATTAAACTGAGCAAATAGTTCCTCCTCCATTAGGTCTGTGAATGGAAGAGCAGTTTTGTTCAATTCCTGAAAAGCTCAATTGGATACCATTACGACAAGCAATGGATACAAATGTAAACGACACTATACATCGATAAAAAATAAAGAAAATACACGTCACAAACCAAGCACAGGAACCCCACGCAACCAAGAGCAATTGCTAACAAGATTCTTTTCCTGATTGGGGAACACAGGAGGGAAAACCCAAGAAACTCGGTTTAAATCCCATCTGCCACCATTTTTACCACAATTTTTTTTTAAGGGAACAGCATTTTTTATATTTCTATTAAAGCAAACGGAAATCTCACTTGGAAAAGATGTGTTAATCCAATCCATGGTTTTTTCTTTAACGAGTCTTGTAGTAATATTTGCTGCTGTCGTAACAACCTGAAACAAACAAAAATAGTAAGAGTAATTCAGTTTATTGGAATGCAATTTGGTCTAAAATCATAAGCATGGTTCCATATTTTGACTGACCTAAAATATGTTGAGAGCATCGTGCTCATGATATGACAACAGAGACGGAATAAGATGGGGTTTGCAGTGTCATCATCTGTTCTTACCTTGGAGTTCATTTCCTGAGGACAAAGGCTTTGAAAGGCTTTCAAGCTCTTCTCCTTACAGGATCTACAGATGAAAATATGAGCCAAATCAATAATTTGTGTTTAAGATCGGTGCTTTAGTTTCTTAAAGTTCAAAATTCACCAAATACTTCACGCTGCTCGTTAAAAACTTTTCACAGAAGTGGAGACGGCTTGTTGTTGTGGTATACACTCAGACAGTGAGATAATATACCACAAAAAATAACTTTAATTCATTTATTCCTGCAAAGATTACAAAATTTTCGGGCGCAAATCCCGCGCGAGTTGCCCGGAGGTGAATAGGAACGGATGATCGGAGTTTGATAAGCAGATCAGGGCGCGCCTTTCACTCTATCAACTTTGTTATTATATACTAACTACAGTCATACCCTAACTGGATTTCAAGTTATCCAGACAGTTAAAAACTACCTTGTTCTACTGATAAAAAATACCGGTACTTTAATTTGGAATGAAATCGCTCCATGCTTATTTTATGGCTGCAAAAATAGGTCTGAAATTTGTCACTAACTCCAAGGTCTCCAAGGCTGTTTTCACACCATCATCAGTCACAGAGTGAATGATCTTGAGGACATGAGGTCTGCACTTTTCCTGACAAATTATAAAAAAACCCATTTGTTCATTTAGTGGAATAAATTTAAACAATTCCAAAACCTCAAAAGCGTTTTTTGTAGTTGTTTCTTTGTTTGGGGATGTTAAGTTATTAAACGCGCTACGAGGTAAAGTTCTGAGTAAATTTTATAAAGTTAAAAGACTAAAAACTTTTTAAGTTTCTCCTTTTTTTTGCACAATAACTACCTATCAATATTGCATTGCAAAAAATACTCTCTAAAGAGTATTAGTTGGATGGTAAATATAAGAAATCAACACTGAAATCAGCGTTACCTTTGCCTGATCGGTGTTCGTGTTGGCGGAGAATTCACTATCCAAGAACGCTTGAATTCTTTTACCTCCTTCATTCAAAAGGGAGGGAGTTATACCTCCTTTAATGTGAGATATAATATTGCTGCATAACCTGAAATAAACAAGTCAAATGTTTTTTAGGCCTGATTATGAAGGCCAGTTTTTTGTTTCTACATGCACTAGAGTAGTCAATCGTCCATCTGATCTGAGCCATATACTGTTATGCACTTATTGACCGACTTTGGCACGAAGACATAATAGACGGAACGAGCGCATCGAAAATGTTTTTTTCAAACTTATAGGACGCACTTGCACGCCAAAGAAGGGCGCGCACTAGACAACAATAATTGAAAGAGACTCTACGGTAAAAATTTTTCTACGAGTCAAAACAAAAAAACTTCTCATTCTTTGATAAGCGCAACTCATTTTCCCACTTGTTTTATTTCAAGCTGAAGCCCACAATTTCAATTCGGAAAATGCAAAAGAGCTGTGTGAGCACAGGGCATGCACTTTTGTCTTGTATGGATTTGCGAACACGGGACCGGACGGGTTATTTGATAAAAGCTGGTATTGGTCAAAAGAGAAACACTTGCCTTTCTACAGTAAAATCAGACAGTCTCTTCAGGAAATCAGGCTGAATGCGAAAAAAGTTTTCTTCCAACTGAAGCTATCAAAAAAGACAAAACCAAAAGGAGACCATCTGAGTTTGAAACAACATAACCCTTCAACCCTGAAGAGGATCTGGCTTCTAATTTCTCCTTAGAGCATCACTCCTGGAGCAAACACTGAATTCAGGAGAACAAAAGAAATGACTGTTGGACAAATTCTCCTTGCCAACACCTTGGGAAATGTCTAGAGAACAGTATGGAGAATATCCATACTGGTGTTAGGGAGCAAAGGGTTTACTTAATGAATTAGAAGTTTCTAATATGACGTTAAAACTTCAGATACGGGGAAACAAACTCCCAGAAAAACACAAAGTAAAGATATCATCACAACGTTTTTTAGTTGGTGTAATGGAGAGAAGGAAATGTAATCAAATTTAAGTTTTGACAGAGTGTTGCAAAAATAAAACGACGCAACATCAACAACCAATTATATGATAAGTTGACGCATTTTGAGAGAAATGCCAGTGACAAAGTCAAAATCTGTTTCCGTTTTCGTTTACCGTCTGATTGATAGAGAGGGTTGCGCAAGTTTCTGAACCAGTCGCAAGGCGAAGTTAAACAAAACCAAATAATATCTGACTACTTTCTACACTCAACTGAAAATTGCTCTACCACTCAATCTTACATTGCTTTGAGATACTGTTACTAGCATTTTTCTTCTTTTTTGATCCACAAAGGTTGATCCAAAGGATAATGATTATTAGTCACCATAATTAGCAACATCCAAATGTGTTTCATGGAATTTCAGATCTCACAAATAAACTCATCTTTGGGCATTTTGAGGACTTTCGGCTGGCAACGTTTTATCCAATGAAACAGCTCACTGAGATCGAGCTCACGATCAACCCCGAACAGTTCTTACGCAAAAACTCTCACCTGCAACTGCTTGTGGGAGGATGATCTGCTGGAAGGTTCGCCAGCGGAAACTGGTGTTATCTTTTTAACCGGGCCTAAATATTAACAAAAGAAAAATTAAAAGCTTGCATCTCAACAAAACTGACTGATACGACTAGTCACTGTATTCCAAGGACGGCCATTGGATATCCTGACTGAACGCAAATTAAAAGCAACATGTATAACAGAAATGTACTGTTTTATATGCTGGAAAAAAGAAAGATTGGAAACGGCTCATTTTCAAGAGATTTTCCAATTATTAAGTGTGAAGTTTTCTTAGGTCTAAACCAGATGTGGGAGATGCATGTGACCTAATAGTGGTTCGCTGGACTCTGGGTCGAGAGGTCTGGGTTCGAGTCCTGGCCGGGTCACTGTGTTGTGTTCTTGGGCAAAATACTTTCCACTCACAGTGCCTCTCTCCACCCAGGAGTATAAATTGAGTACTGGCAAATCTTCATGGAAGCCTGATAAAACGCTGGGGGATAACCAGCAAAAAGTAGGTTCGACTGCTAATGGGAGCACTCTGTGTTCTTTTTTCTCAAAGTGTACCTTGTCATTCACCGAATAACACCACCTTTTAAATATTAACTTGTTGAACAAAGGTTGATGAACGGCACAATACCTGATCTTCCAGACATCCCAGCTGCTGCTTCCACTAACACTGTTCTTATTACACCTGCAAAACAAAGAACAAATGTTCCCAACATGTTCCCTCTGTGACATTAATTCTTAACTTTCGCTTAATGGCTGTTGTGATTGCTTCAACACTGGTATTACAACACATGATTGAAAAGTGCTCTATGGGGTTACTTATTACGTTACCCTGTGGTTACTTCTACAAAAACAACAGTTACTTGTACGCACTCAGGAAAGGACAGCAAGCGTAGAGAATGGCTTGGTCCACAATACCACTGGAGTCCTGGTAAGACGTGCACAAAGAGAAAAAAAATTGTTATTACACATTTCAGCAGTTTTATAAATAAAGTTCACTTCAACCAAAAAGTAACTCTCTGAGTTTATTCAATAAAACCTAATTTAAAAATTATTTTTATGCAAATTAAGACGGAACAGCAGAAATCAGGAGTGTCACTTCAAAATGAAATTTGTGAACTTGTTTTTTTAATCTCCTTAGCAATGTGTGATGTCTATTTTTCTTTCCTTACCAGACTGGGTTTAACATCTGAATAGTTTCTTTTGAGATCATCTTCAATGCAGTTCTTTACATCATTCAGGCTTTTGAAGAAGAATGTGGCAGGAATGATTGATATCTACAAAATCAGAGGTTTGTATAAAATGAGAACACATGTATTGTAACCAAATAAAATAACCTAATCGTTTGTGATGGGGTACTTTTCTAGAGAAACTGTGGTGCTGTGTCGACTGGGGGGCAAACAGGGAAGGGGAGAGGGACGGGGGGTATGACAAGATAATTCGGTTTATCAAGTTTATACATTTTCTATCGCTGACGTTTCGAGCGTCAGGCCTTAATCAAAGCGAAAGACGAAGAGCTAACGCTCGAAACATCAGCTTAGGAACCCTTGACGGTGGCCGTTTTACATATCACCTCAGTTGATAAACCAAATTATGATAGCAATTTATCGCCTCTTAATTCAAAATAGTTTTTCCTTTCATCACACCCATACCAGAAATTGTCGATAATGAAGTTTCCTTGAACAGATAGTGATGTAATATATCAAACACGAGGAAGAGTGTTAATGGTTTGAGGAGCTATATCAAACATTCGAAAGGGTGTTTCATCCGATATCCAAACACCGAGAAGTGGTTGAGAAAACGAGGCGCAGCCGAGTTTTTTTTAACCAACTTCAAGGTGTTTGGATATCGGATGAACTTTGAATACCCATATAGCTGGAAACCATTAATAACCGAAAAATCAAAGCAAAAGTTCACCAGATTTTATGATAATTAAGATCACATATCCAAACCTCCTTCACGGTTGTAATTTCCTTTGTTTTCTCAGCATGAATTATTAATGAGTTTGAGAAGTTAAGATGAAAAAACGATCCACTTTGTACAGGTTTTTACGCTTTTGATAAGATCTTAATCAAGCGACATCTTATCACGTTAAGTTAAAGCCAAATGCTGCACTTACCTCAAAAAACCATCCCAGACATGAAATCAACAGTAACTTGCTATGATTCAAAATTGTCTTTGAAAACAGGGAAGCACTTTCTCTAAATGGAAATCAAACAGAATCAATGCAAAAAAAAAAAGTTGTTTTGAGTATCCAATTCCACTATCTCCGGCAAACCACAGATCCTATTGGCCAGTCACACATACAGATAAACTACAACAGGCTCTCTCTGACTTATTTTTCTTTACATATTATTCGCTGATAAGGCAAGCAAAACACAAAACCAAAAATGAAATTGTGTGCAAACTTCACCATTTACCCCCTAACTCAGTATCATGATGTATATTCTTCATACTTCTCCATACTTTTCTCTATAAGAATTTGTTTAACAATCTAAAGGTAATCTCAAGGAGAATTTGTTTAACAATCTAGAGCATTGGAGTTGTGAGATCATTTGAGGACTCAACTTTTTGACCTTGACTGTTTCATTTCAATCCTTGTGACATTAATATTTGATTCAGGATGATATTGTACAGAGAATTTGATGGCAGTCACTCAAAAGAGTTAACTCCCATCAGACAGAGTTTTTAAAACAAGCAATACAGACTACAAATAAAATGTTTTTCTTGTCTTTTCAATTTGAGCATTTATCTCTTTAGTAAGCAAACTACTATGCAGAAACCTGTAAATCCTGTAGAGAAAATTGAGGACCATAGAGAAGTAGTCTAGAAGAGGAGCCACAGGGTCCATCATACTGAGGTACTCTACAGCCCATGGTACTGTAAGCACCAGTCTCCCACTGCACCAGGCCTTCTTGAGGTAACCGAGAATGTCAAAGTGAATGGGAATCTGAAAAGAAATAAATAGGAACAAATGGTAGATACATTCATGTCAAGAGCCTTTAATTTGAAAATTTCTATTTTTGAAGAGAAGCACTATCAATCATGCAGAGTAACTAAAAACGTTTGAATAAACATAAGATTTGAGAATTCTGCAATAAAAATGAAATTCCTGGCTAACATGTCAACTGGATCAGTAATGTTCTAGAACTGGCTCCAGTTGTCCAAAGGTTGGATAGCACTATCCTCTGAATAGATCTCCATTGGTAGATAGTGCACCAGAGTTTTGCTGACACTTATCCGCTAGAGAGCAATTTATCCATTGTATAGTGTTATCTGCCTTTTGATCAACTAAGCTTGATATCACCTCTCAAAACTCCAAATTTAATAGGCTGACTTACCCTATTCCTTAATTTAAGAGTTTCAGTCACAATTGTTTGTGATGAAGTTTCTGTGCCATGATAAGGCTGGAAAATCAAAAACCCAAGGAACTTTGCCAAAATTCTTATTTTCAGTAAACAACTGGAAAAATCCTGTTGTACTTCCTAGAAAAGGAAAAATCAAAGTAAAGACATGTTTGCAAAGCATAGAGGAAAGCTCCTACTTAAAGAAAAGTGAATTTTAAATTGTAGCCCTTACAAAATTTGTAAGATGGAAAGGAACACGATTTTAATGTAGAGATTGTGGGACAGAAGCCGAGGGTGAGGAGTGGTGTCAAGGGGTGGATCAAGGGGATGGGTACAAGGTATGCTGATTTTTCTCCCCCCAAATGACCTGCAGCTTTCTAAGATAACTTCAAAGTTACGCAAAATCTGTTGTATCATTTGCTATGTATTCTCATCTGTACACATTCTGTTAAAATTGAATGCCTTGTCATAAGCCTTCTTTTTCATCATCAGTTTTGAAATTTATTTGGGTCACCTATCAGTAACTGTTATGTCATTCCTTAGGGGTGGATCCCCGTCTGAGAAAAATCCTGGATCCACCCCTGGATGATGCCATCTCTAGTAATAAAAAAGAGATCATCTACTTTAAAAATAATAAAATCAAACAAAGGATGTAACAAACCTGATTTTGAATTGATAAGTCTTTGTCACTTCCTTCTTCGATATCTGACAAGGGAAATTCTTTATTGTTGATCTGCAAGAAAAACACAAAACTTTTTAAGATTTAATGACTGGCAATCATTCTAATGTACTATTATTATGGTATACAGTCTTCTGATTATTGGCTCTTCAACATAAATAAACTGGAAAGATGCAAAAAACAATTCAAGTCAACATTTAAAGTTAACCCATCAAAAAAAACATACCTCAGTTATTTTCACAATCAGTAAGTCCATTAGATGCTGATTGAATGAATGACTGTAACAAAATCAATAAACTGAGGTAGAATTTAAGCTGAAAATGATATAATTTGTTTCACATCGTCATATAAAATTCAGCATGGAAGAATTAAATATTTGAAGAGGGCAAATCAGTCAGAAAAGAAATAATTAAACCATTGACCCCCAACCCTTTAGACCCTTATGACAGTATGCAAATTCTCCATACTGTTCTCTGTACATTTCCTAAGGTGCTGGCAGGGAGAGTTTGTTTAACAATCAAGAGTTTCTTCAGTTGGTGATCATTTCCTTTATTATCATGACCTTAATGTTTGATTAAGGGATGATATTGAAAAGAGAAATTAGATACTAGTCACACTCAGGGATTAAAGGGTTTACAGTGACTAGCATCTAATTTCTCCCTATAATATCACCTGTGAATCATGCATTAAGGTCATGAGAATAAAGGAAATGATCACCACCTAAAAAAGCTCTTGATTGTTGAACAAATTCTCCTTATCAGCACCTTAAAAAAATGTATGAAGAATATACATACTGATGTTAGACTGCAATGGGTTAAATGAGACATAAGATTTCTTGTGTTATATACTGTACCTAGCTGCAGATTGTATGAACCCTTTGAAGAATTCTTGCACATGACTAAAACTGGGGGCAGGACATGGGCCTCCAGATGATAAAGGAGTGATAAATCTCTCTTGAAGCCTAGTAGCACAAACATGGCAGAATGATATCAATAAATTGGTTGGATGAGTTTTTCAATACTCTTTTCTTCAACTTTTTTGTAAAAATTAAAAAGTGGAACCCAAGAAAAAAGTATTTGGGAAATGTCTTACACTGATGACATGGAGAATACATGTAACAGCTTAAGGTTGCTAGTACATGGCAAAATGCATCTTTGAGTAGAAGAAAAAGATTGGGATCAAATAATGGCCTTTTTTCTATCTTCCTCATCACTTTCAAGAAGAAAAAATTTCATCACTTAAACTGAAACTGATAAAAATTTCAATTACCTCTGAAATTTTTCTGGATTTGACTTTTGCAAACTGCTAAGCATATTTGATGAACGAAAATCACTTCCACTCCTCTCCTCCTCACACATCTATGAATATAAAAAACAAGAATAAAACTCCTTTAATCAAATCTTTAACCTCTAAAAGCTACTAGCATCCAATTCTCCTTACAACCCCTGAATCAAACATCAATGTCAAAAGAATAAAGGAAATGATCAACAGCTTGTTTAACAAATTCTCCTTGTCAGCTCCTTAGGAAATGTATAGAGAACAGTATGGAGAATATGCATACTGATGTCACAGTGTAAAAGGTAAATAGTAATGGGTAGGGTACAGTGCCATGGAGGAAATGGAAGGAAGAAATATCAGCACAAAAGCCAGCAGAAGTGCCTATTGAAACTGTGAATCTGATTTTATATTTTGATTACCTGTAGTAATTGGGACTTAAACAGCCTGGCGAAATGGGAATAGTTGGCCAATTCTGGCTTCTGATTCACCAAAGCCCTGAAAGATGGATTTAAAGATTGAAAAAGCTCTCAAATTTAGTATTCACTAACAGAAGGGCTCTTTCGTTATCTGTACATAAGTAGGACAAGTAAATAGAAAATACAATTTTGCTAAGTATCAACATCTCTTTTGAAATTCCAGTTGCCAGGGATTTAACCCTTTAACTCACATGAGTGATCAAAACAGAACTTCTCCTTAAAAAATTCCCCAAATGAACAAGAATTGTATGGCAGACAGTAAGGAGAATTACTAATGAGATCTTAGGAGTGAAAGGGTTCATTGTTCAATTAACACCAGTGCTCACCAAATTGTTGAATCCTAGCTATCCAGGATGATTAAATTTTTATTTCACTATACACCTTTGATACAAAAAGGTCAGGGTGTTTGGGGGTTACAACAAATTCTCAAGGCCAGCCATTAAATTAACTATTATATCTGGTGATGCTTAACCCTTTTTACTCAGAGTGGTAAGCATCTGATTTCTCCATAGTGTATCACTCCTTAATCACACATTGAGGTCACAAGAATAAGGAAAATGATCACCAACTGAAGCTCTTGATTGTTAAACAAATTCTCCTTGTCAGTACCATGGGAAATGTACAGAGAACAGTATGGAGAATATGTATACCAACATTAGGGTGTAAAGGGTAAACACTCTCCTTGGCCTGTACCTTATCCTGTCTCCCATGTGTTCCTCCATGTTCCATCCTGCTGCCAAATGTGAATCTTCCCATTCTCGCACAAGCTCATAAAATACATCCCTGAATGTAGAGCAATCAACATACTTAAGTTTAAGTGATTTTAATTTGTGTAAATTCTCCCCAAAATTACTTGAAACTGAAAAAATTTGCATTTAATTGAGTGTTTTTCATAACATTGTGCATCTCAACAAATGGTTATGCAGTATTATTGTAAGGAGAAATAAGAAGATACTGTTTCCTCTTAGTGGTGTTAATCAAGTTAAGGGATCTGGTTTGCCTGTGCAGGAGGCAAACTCACAGGACAGCAAATCCTCATTGACCAAGAACAGTGAGAAGCAGATAACCCTTTAAACCCTAAAAGTTGCCACTATTTAGTTTCTTCATACAGTAATACTGCTGAATCATTCATTAAGATCACAAGAAAAAGAAAAATGATCACCAAACTAAGAAGCTTCAACTGTTAAATGAATTCTCCTTATCAAGTACCTGAGCAAATGTATAGCAGAGGGCAGGGAGAAAAGGGATGCTGATGTTACAGTGTAAAGGACCACTGAATGTTGGCAGGATATCAATGTACGCAACAAGTTAGGATTCATTATTAACTACACTTTACTGCAGTTTTTAGTTACATCAAACTTCACCAATAAAAGCTGAATAGTTCTACCCCTCTAAGCTTCTATTTTTGTTGAGATTCTACTAGGTAAAGCAGTTTATCAGTATCTGCTATGCATACTGCTATGCATACTGCTATTAATTGAGTAAAATAGAACTTACACAGTAAGCATCCAAAATTCTCCAATAAAATCATTGTACCAAAAGCTTCTGACAAAAGGCCAGAAGCAGTTGTGTTGTTACACAGGAGAGGTGTTTTACCAATTCGTTTTTAAAATTTGGTAACTGTTCAGAGAGATTTGAGACTGGCCCTTCCAACATCAGATAACCATGAATGAGTAAAAATGTGGCATACATTAAATAAATATTTCATTTGTTTATTGTATTTCTCAAACACAACTTGAAGCATTTTAACTTTTTTGTACAGCACATATGTGGTTATTAAATGTGATTCTTTATTCTGCTTTATATTGTATTGATATTGTAAGGAGAAATTTTGCCTTGATCACAAATGGCAGTTAAAGGGTTTACTTCAATTGCCTTCTCATTTCCACTTAATTTCCATGGCCTGTTTGGGGAAGTAGTCTGAGGATTCCACTATACTGTATTATGCAGAATTATACTGAAAAATGGCAAGTCTAAGCAGTCTGTATTACATCTTGATGGTACTCTTTTAAGAGTTTTTAATAATTATTACAACTTTTATTCCTTCTCAACACAAAAATATGCAATCACTGACAACAGGCCAACAAAAAAAACATGGATGCAGATCTGTGGTGCAGATGATTCCACACTAGGATGTGTGGTTGGTGCAGATGATTCCACACTAGGATGTGTGGTTGGTCTGGGGCCATCATCCAATTCATACATGCGTCCAAAAAGGGCCGCAGTCAACAACCCTTTTGTCAGCTGCTGCTTGGTCTGCAAATGCGTCACAGGTACACCGTGGTCCCATTCTCCTGGCAGAAGTGATACACCATCCGCTAACACCTGTGGATAGATATACTGTGTACCAAGTGAACCATGCAGTGTGAAGGACTTGAAAATGGTACTTGCATTGTATACTCTCTGCCCACAAGAATTACGGTTCAATCCCAGACACTTGATAAGAGTGCATATTTGTAAATAATATTGTCCCTCTAGGATGTGAAGTCCATCAAAGACGCCTAACGCATACATTTCATCAGAGCGTTTCTCCACCATCTCATAGGTAAGGGAACAACAAATGCTACTGCCATTGTAACACACATCCAAGGTGCCTTCAGGTTTCTTCAGCTCTTTGAAAAGAAAGAGATCGCCGAACAAGTCCGAGTAGAATGAGTCTTGACCAGCATTGCCTTCTTGTATCTTTGTAGCAATCACCACTGGAGTACCTGAAGGTCTGTCCCTTGGTGATTTGGGCAAGGTGGCAACAGATAAGGAACCATTGGCAGACAAGCTTCTATAGTACTTTTTAGCACCAGTGGGGCTGTAGAGTCCACTCCCAGTGTTTAATACCTCTGGTACGTGCGAGTTTGCAGAGAGAAAGTTGACCTGCATTCCCCGGGCCCATGACCCATGGAATCCAATGGCTGCAAAAAGAGGCACCACATCAAACCATGCCGTAGGAAAGACAATATGGTCAACTTTGTGTTTGGTCACCAGTGGTATAGCTGGATCGTGAAAGAGCGCATCAAAACAGATAAATGTTCCAAATTTACCAAAGGGTGTGTCAAAGGTAATGAACTCAGGTGTAAGAGGACGATTAACCACTTTCATTTCATTCAAAAAAGGATGCTGCTTATGATATCTGGCCACAAGTTTGCCTTTGTCATCAAATACTACATTAGTATTATATTGGTATCTTCCATCACTGGGGCAATTTTCATCAGTGCTTTTATTGCATGGCTTAACATCTCCCATATTCACTACAAGGTACATATCATAGGTTTTTGCCAGACAACTGAGGCGGTATAGAATAGGACTGGACATGTTTGCTTGTGTATCTTCACAAGCATTCCAACTGGTCTTCTTTGGATCTGGGATGTCTTCTAAAAATGGCTGAAATGAATCACGTGTGTAGCCAAAGCCTGTTAGGCCATATTCAGGAAAGACAATAATACTTGCATTCTGCAAAAAAGTCAAATGAAGATCATGTTTAAAACAATTTTCACCTCAAAATCAGTAAGCAAATTCTCCAAACTCTTCTTTATACATTGGAAAAAAAAAGAGCTTCTTTAGGCGGTCATGCTGTATTCAGTAGTGACCCCTCCATTCCTGTCGGTGACCACCAAATACAGGTGTGACTGAATATTTTACTTTATTCTGATCACTTGTTTGCCTGATACTTTTTTTAATATGTACTTGTAAGGAGAACTTCTTTCTTCACCACGCATGGGTTAAGTACATATAAGTTGAACTAACTTCAAACTTTTAAAGGCCAATCAACGTTCACTTCAAATAGTTACCTACAAGCCTTAGTAAAAAAATTAAATAACCAGTACCTGCTGTTTAGCTTTTTTCATCTGGGTCGCGTACACATCCATGTTCTGCATGACGATCGCCACAGCTTCTTGCTGGGAGAGGACGTTTGTTCTATTTTGGGCCCTGACAAAGGCATGCTCATATACTGCTGCCACAAACTCTGATCCAGTGGAAGAAGTTAAAGCTGTACTTCTTGCCAAAATTGACAGCAGGCACAGGATTTGAAGTGATGACATTTTTTAATCAGACTGACGAAGATCGTGCTGTGAAAAAGAATCGTAACATTATACTAGATAGTTCAAGAAGATCTGCTTCGTCACGTTCTAATGAGAAAAATAACGACTTTGATTTTCTGAGAGATGTTCCGCGATTCTCCGAGATTCTTGCCACTCAGCTGCATGCTACTGCCGTAGTCTTCTACAGATTACGATAACTCTGAGCATTTGGAAGTTTCGCAAAAAATACTGGACTGCGAGACCGAGAGTAGTACACTATAAGCGACATTTTGAAACAAACTTCAATGGCTAACGAGGGACTTGCGATTTTTCAAGGTGCCAATTCGCCACTCCTTCCTCTGAATGATTATTTAATTATTAAGTGAAACCATAAAATTATCTTGAGAGTCCCTACAATTTCTGTTTTCAAATGGCAAAATCCCACATACAACATCACAGTAACAATTTATCTTTTACAAATAACACAAGCCATAAAGGTTTGACACAATCGATCGACACTAGAACCTATGATTGATATTTAGCGCTATCGATCTGCCTGAGGACACGAGCGATTTAAAATTACTGCTTTTAATTGGTCTGCTCTAACGACACAAGCGACTGAGGTTCAGCACTAACGATTGACCATTTTAGAACGGAAACTAAATTGATTTACACGTACGAGTTGTTGCTAGCACTAACGATTGAGTTTCATCACTAGTGATTGATATTTTAGCTCTAACGATTAACTTTTATCTCTAGCGATTGATAATTTAGTCACAGATGGCTTCCCATATAACCCGAAACGGGCTTCAAACGAAATCTCGACTATTTCCACGACAAACTGCATTTGCAATAAAATCGATCGAAACTTTGCGGCTTACCTTTTTGAAGTTAAAGCGTCCTTCGACGAGATAAGTTTCTCTGAAGGTTGCGACGAGAAATCGTCGCCCAACTGGCGATGACATTGGCGATATTGTCGTTTTTTTGCTAATTATTAAGCCTTGCGCCAGGATGCCACACACAGCTGTGCAATAGTCACGTGATGTGGAGCAAAAGTCTAGAATCATAAACAAAGCTTATTATTTTGTCTACGGCACAAAACAGAATTAATCAAACTGATTCTTAAAGTTAAGGTTATTCTCTTGACATAGACTGAGCATAATTTTCACGCGTGGGTAGCGCACGTAAATAATAATACGACGCCTTATATTCTGGCCGGAAGCTCTCTCTTAAATCAAATAGTGATTCCCTCGTTAAACGGGCTCAGTGTCAGGGACCGCGCAACAAGTTTGCAAGTGGGGGGGGCTAAAGAAGATTGCGTGAAGGAAAATTTTTTTGTTAAATTATTTTTTGTTTAATTTATTTTTATTCTTGCAAAAAAGTGGGGGGGGGGGTGGGCTAAAGCCCCCCCCAGCCCCTCCCTCTGCGCGGCCTTGAGTGTGCTGGATTCGCTGCAGTATTGTTATCTTTTTTTATTACTTCAAAATATCTCTGTCATCTCCGTGACATTTTACATAGACAAAAACGTAGGACATTTAAAAATAGTTTTTCACCAATATTTGAACACAGAATTCTACCTCTAAATTTTGTTAGAGGGAACGCAATCATACTTACGTTAAGCTTCCAAAAGATCGTAATAGAGTTCTAGTACTGGTCATTTCAATGCAATTGAAATAAAACTCGGTGCTTGCATCTTCATCAGCAGAAAATTAACCTCTAACAACTTGCATCGGTTCATGAACGGTACTTGAAAAAAGTGTAGAAGCTAATATCTTCTTATCAATAAGCCGGTCTGCCAGACGATCGAGGATTTTATTGTTTCCCGGCCAACTACATTTTATGAACTCAAAAACATCGAAGACAGCTTCGATCGTCGTGAGTTGGTCACAGACATATCGGTAACATCGGGAGGTGAATTCGGAACAGTCGGGGGACAATCGCTTCTCCGAACGTGTGAGATAGACATTTCATTTATTTGGAAAACTGTATGTGACTTCATTTCTCTGTAAAGAATCGAAAGCACATACTGACAGAACGTTTTTCAATTCATTGGGGCTAGGAAGTATGGAGCAATTACTTCTATCAGTAAAAATCTGACGAAGGTCACCTTTCGTTTGCTTGAAGAAATGGCAAATGTTGGTGTGTTACTTCTCCTTTTCTGTGAACGTCCCATGTTCATTGTTTCCGCAGGCGCTAAGCTGAGTTTGCATACTACGCGCCAAAAACTTTTGTGACTCCCTTTGAGTGTTCCAGATCTGACACGAACGAAGTGAGAACCTCTTCCGAAGTTCTATATATACTTTGAGAGACACAGAGAGAGAGAGAAAGTGACTTTTATATAGGTTGTATAGAGCCCCCTCCCCTCATTTCCCTTAAAAAAAAAAAAAGAGAGAGAGAGAGAGAGAGATGGGCGTCACCACTTCCGATTTCTTATGAGACGAGGGGGGCAAGTGCTATCAAGCTACCTCTGTAAAGATGTGGCCGTTATGGCAAAAAAGAGGTGTTATATAACATTTTCAGAGAAAAAAAAAAGAAGAACAACATTTTGTAAACATACTAATGCGTAACACAAACAAATACAACAGTATAACAGAAACTGTAACTCAGTGCTCAGATTAAAAATGTGCCTTTGCTTTTAGTATCGCATCTTATCTTCTTCTTGGCGTTAGCGAGAGTGTGCTGTCAGAGCTCTCTGCCTAAGTATGCTGTCGCGTCCTTTTTTAATCAAAGCAATCAGTTAGCTTGTATCCTAGACAATTCATTTGCTTCCGGGAAACTTGGCCGTTATTCGGCAGGCTGTTGCCGTTGAAGGGGGGGAGGGGAGGGGGGGGGGGGGAAGGGAGGGGAGGGGAAGGAGTTGAGGCGGGAAGGGGGAAGCAGTGACGGTTACATAGATGCTTGAGTAAGAGTGAATGAGTTGACCTTCCGCTGACACCCAATGAAGTAGCTTTTGTGGAGAGCTGCCCAACGTATATGGTTCCACTTGAACACAAATACATGGAAAATAGGCTACTTGGTTACAATTAGGGAGTAACGCTGTACTAAACGAAAGTACCTCCTCCCTTGGATTATCAAGGAAACACGCTTAGAACTCTCAAATATCTCATAACCCTAAGGAAATGCTATACATTTCTTCACTGATATTTAAGGTGCTTAAACGCTTGAATATCATACAGTCGAACCTGTATTAAGCGGCACCGTATCAAGAGGTCACCGTTTATTAAGCGGTTGGTTGTCAAAGTCATGAATTTGTTTTCATTAAATCACTGCAATTTTCACCTCTGTCAAGCGGTCACCTTTAATAAGCGGTCACCTTGAGTGAATCCCAACAGCCTGCTTGTGTTGTTTTCCAGCTGTATTGAGCGGTCATTTAAAGTGGAAATACTTAGAGAAAACTACGAACAATCTTTCAAGTAAAATTTAATCCATGTTTATCTCCCAAAATCAAAGTAAGTAGTATTTTAGAAGCGAGTTTTTGATCAGTGTAAGGTCAATGATGGCATACAATGGCGTTTTCTAACGCTTCTTATTTTACTCCTACTCTTTGGAACGTGTATTAAGCGCCCTGCCCTACCCTGCTCATTCCCCGTGGGAGACCGCTCAATACAGGTTTGCCTGTATTATTATAACGTCAGCTCGTCTACTACGCACTTGTTTACCTTTGTTTTCTGAAGTTGTGGAAAGCTCTGTCAGTTGGAAAATTCTGTTTATTGTCTCGTTCAACACTAAATGGTACTCCGCCCAGGGGAGATTTGACAAAGTTCATCTCTGTCACCTAAAAAAGAGGCTTGCGATGATAAAGCATAACTTACTGCATAGTAATTCATCTTGCAGCTTAAAAAAATATCCTGGTTACCCTTGCATCAAGGTTAAGATGTTGATACTAATCTTTGCCTTTTGCTTAATTTTATGACCTTCATTTCCTTCCAAATCTCGTTATTAGTGCTATCAATGTTATTGTTATTATTACCATAACCATCATTAGCAAACGTGTTAAATCTTTAATTATTCATATTGCATTATTCATCTCATATAAAAAAATAAAAGCTTCTAATTAAACAAGGTAATTCCCACCTTTTTGACAGAGTAGGTTTTGTACTGCTGAAGAAATGTCTCCTTGAGACCTGGTGAAAAATCTGCAATCTGAGAAAAAAAAAGAAATGATGGATTCTCTCTTGCCATGTATCTCTTGTAAGTGAGCAAGAAAAATAACCAGAATTGATTTAACCCTCCCATGACTGACCAAGACAGAATTTCTCCTTACAATATCAATACAATATCAAGCAGACAGGGGATGAGAATAAAGACAAATATCAATTGAGGGATTATCAGTTGATCCAATACAAAATTCTCCAAACTAACATCAGATGAATTGTACAGCACAGTCAGTAAGGAGAATCACTAATGAGATCTTGTGGATGAAAAGGTGAAAAGACTTTCTCCCATAAATAACCCTGTTGGTTCTCCTCTTCAGAAACTGGAATTCAAATCCGCTTCATTAAATAAATAATATCCATTTATACAATAAGTGGAACAGCTAATTGCAAAGTTGTGCTACAGCCTGTATTGGAAGAATTACTAAGTGTATGTAGGCTCAAGTCTGACAAATCTGGGATTTCCACCAATTAAAAGCTTTTACAAAAGCAAAGTGACCAAGGTTAATGGCCTATGGCACCTATTTACTGCTACAGCACAGTCCTGGCAGGCTTTGTCTTAAAATTAACCACACATGTTCAATACTGAATGGTACCTTTTATCCATTTCTTTTTTTTTCTTGATGCTTTATTTCATTTGGATTCAAACATACAAGACATTTAATCAAGTGGTTTATCATCCCAAAAGTATTAGTGAAAAAGGAAAAAATTCACATCACATACCCTTGGATTATCAGCTAATAAACGAAGAGTCTCCTTATCCAACAGAAGAACTAATCTGACAAATGCAAGTCAAGTATGAGGCAAAGAAAAAGGAAAAATTACACATGGACAAGATTTGTAGCCTGCAGAGCAGGCATAATTTTGACAAGAGAGTGCTCAGTATTTTCTTAACCAAAATTATGACCACCATCTTTGATTTTAATGGCAGTGGAAGGCTGGTGAGAGAAATAAATTTGTACCAAGGGGGCAGTTGACAGTCAAAAATAAGGAGAGGGGTAGGGCTGGGGCAGTGAAAATCACATCTCCTTGCACTTCCCCCACCCCCTACTTCCACTGTCCACTCTAACTCCAAATCAAACATGGCTGGTCAGATAAACAATTACGAATTTATAAAATTAGCTTGCTGTTATAAGACGCCTGTGCTGCTGGCAATGAGATTTGTGGAGGCAGAGTGGTTAGGATGTTGGACTTGTAGTCTGGTGATCCTGGGTTCAGGCTCTCTCTGGCTCTTTACAATGTTTGTTTCAATTTGTTTGCATTGGCCTTAAGAAGGCCCATCAGGAGACTGGTCAAATAATGATATAATTATTAGTATAAGTATTATAATTATTACAATTATTGAGATTTCAAGATGGTGAAAAGAATTATGTCATAAAGGAAGTCTAACACACCTCTTAATCTCTTCCAGCACTGTGACAGCAAAGTAAGTGGAATTATGAATTGAATCCAGAATATTTTGATCATCTGACTTATTACCTAATGGAGGTAAAATTTAATGGTTAGTCAATTAGTCCCCAATAAAAGTAAAATTCAAGCAACATTTTCTATATTTTTCTTGTTACACAAAACAGTTTGTCCCGGTCTCCAGAAAGGATGACCAGAAAAGGTAAAAGTTATCATGAAATTTCCCCAAGGGAAGAAAAGGGGGGGGGAGGGGCAGGGTACTTGGGTGAATTTTTGCTGGGTACATGCCATTGGCCTCTCAGAACCCATATCTCATTGCAGTCTTTTCTGTGGCCAATCATAGACCCCATATTAGACAATTTTGGGCAAATGTTATTTTTGTGATCCCAAAAAATCAGTTTCTGATTATGCATCTACCTCTTTTTACATCCTTACTTACAAGAATTTTCTTTTACCTCAAATCCCAAAAATGTATGACCCCATTCTAGAAACAGCATTGAAAATGCAACCCCTCAAATAGTAATCCAGTCATGAAAATGCAACTTCATCCAGCAGCACATCCCCATTGGCTAAATACACCCTCTTACCCCTGGAAAAATGTCATCAACTAAAAATTGACCACCCTCTACAATTTTAAAAATCTTTTTTCCACCCCTTCCAGGGATAGGATAGCCCTAACAAAGTGCCATGACAGCAAACCACTTTGAAATATTTCTTGCAACAGAAATCTTAAGCCTTGAAATCATCTTCACAGGAGAAAACTCAAATTTCAAATTGGGTTCATGGACATCACATTTACAATAATGCTGTGTTATTTTTTAATATTTTGTTACCATTAATTTCTTCTTGCCTTGATTCATGAGCAATGCCTCTTGCAGTCAACAGCTGTACCACAAAATAAACTTCTGCTGTAACATTAGGAACCAGGTTTTCTTCATCATAAAAAAAAAGCAAAAATTGTAGGTTAGCAATGTCTCTGGCAAAGTGTGATCATGGTATGATTTTTGAGAATCCAAACACCAGGCCCTAATGGTAAATTTTTATAAATTTATTCACTGAATGAGTTCATCCAGTCAATAAAAGAAGAACTCTTGGGATAGCTATCCAGCAGATTAAAAGTTTCAGAAAGTGCAGACTTGATAAGCTGGAAACCACTCCGCTTCGCGTCGTGGTTTCCTACGCTCATCTCGTGTTCTCCTAACCTCCCGCATGTTTACATCAGACTATGAAAACACAGAAACCATTTTACATTTCTTCAGTACAAAATTGAAAAGATTCAAACTTACCCATTATACATCTTGAATAAATTTTAGCAAGAGCGTCCAGTTTATTGCTAAAAATAACTTTGTCTTTCACAGCTTGTACTGGTTGAATTTCTTCTATACAAGTTTGTTTTTCAGACTGTTGACAACTTCCAGGGTCTGCAGTCAGGATATCAGAGGCTTCACTTGCATTAGGGCTCTTGTAAGGTGAAGGTGTTGAAATCAAACTTTCATCTGGTTTTGATTTGTTCTTTTGCCATACATCAGGCACTGCAGTTGGGTGTTTTGGTGGAGTTATGATGAAATCTCCTAAGACATGAGATGGAGGGGATCTAATCCCAGTTTGGGGACTGGGGCTAGTTCTATATCCCCAAGGGGAATCCCCCTTATTCTTTCTTTTAGATTTCATAATTTTTAACAAGTCCCTTTCTTCTTGTAAAGATGCTGGACTTCCATGGCTGTCCAGCATGGAATGTGAGCTAGAAAATGGTGATGATGCAAATGCTGGTGAAGATTTTCCCTTTTTACCATCACCTTTGACCTGTGTTGGTGTGATTCTTCGTGGTGTTACTTTTTTGCTGTTAACACAAAAACATTGTTCAATATTAGGATAAATAGCAAGTCCCAGAGAGAAAATAATACGATCAAAGTTTGAACCCATTGACTCCTAAAAGTGACTACAGTTGTAGCATCTAATTTCTCCTTTCAATATCACCCCTGAATTAAACATTAAGGTCATGAGAATAAAGGAAATGATCATCAACTAATGAAGCTCTTGATTGTTAAACAAATTCTCCTTATCAGCACCATAGGAAATTTATAAAGTACTGTAAGGAGATCAAACAAACTGATATTGGCAAGTAAAGGATTAATATTAATTGTACACTAACTAACCTGGTGGATTTCATGGGAGGAAAATCATTAGGATCATCGATATTTAACTTTGGCTGTGTAACCAGTGGTGAAATTCTCTCATTTCCTGGCACTTTAGGAGACTTTATCTTGAAATTTGGCGATGAAGAGGGTGTATCTCTTCGACTTTGTGACAACGGAGTAACAGGGGATGGAGAAGGGGTCTTTTGTGAAGGAAATACATTCCCCCTAAAGGAGCCCTTTGCCGCGTGAAGAGCTTTTTCTGGTGCACCTTTGCCATGGGACACTGATGTCTTCTTGGGTGTTAGAGCAGCACTTTGTCGTGGGGTTAAGTGATGCAAGGTTTTTTCTCTAAGGTAGTTGAGAAGGAAGGGGACCAGCTCTCCAATACTGTGCTGTTTTAACTTCTCTTTTTCACCCTTGACATGTGGATCAAATAGAAAATAAAAAAAAAGCTTAAATGTCTCAGAACATTTTGTATCTTGTCCTGGACAATTCTCACACCCCAAACTAAACAATAATTATGGTGGCTATCCCAGAATCCATTCACTAAAGCAGGCAACTGCATCAAAATGCTTGCTGCATTGGATCAATGCCAGTTTAACAAAGGCAACTACACCACCCTCCTCTCCATTAGTAACTGTTATGCTCTGATAAGCCTCCATCTCAATGATGCCCCTATATTCAATATGGCCTTCATCTAGAACTTTAGGTTTCCACTGAGCCCCTCTTTGCTCTTCCCCCCCCTCCTCTTAGTTAGGCCCTAATCCTTCCACCTGTCTTAAATCAAAAATGGTTTTTGTTTATTGTTTGGGGAGTTAACAATGCGCTAGAAAGTTTACTTGTATATTTGAAAGCCTGTATAACTTCTTGTTCTTAATAAATAGGTTTTTCAACCAGTTGTATGCATACTGTATACAGCCATCATCAAATCTAGGTGAGAATCGAGAAAAAAATAATAGTTACCCTAACCCTAACCCATTTCAGACCTCAATAAGTTGTAACAGCGTCGCCGCCCCGCTCCCCCCAACCCACGTTTAGCACACCCCTGGTCAAGAACTTTAAAACTTCCTTAAGTTTCCGAGGGCCAGGGGTTTCCCAGAGAGTTCACGTCGTTATCCCAAATTAAAACTGGTGTAATAAGAATGAATTCTGATTATTCCAGTCATGGTAATTTGTTTTTCCGATTCCAAAATAATTTTCTACATGCCATCAGCTTTAATCAAAACAAATACACTGCGGACTAAGTAACCTTGCGGAATAGAGCTCGGGACACTTGCACAAGCTGATAAAAACATCGTTGCTTTTCCACGGTACCTACATTTCGGCCACACTGTTCAGATGATAAAGCTTACCTCATTTTTAACAATCTGGAGAGGATCGGTTAAGTCATCCGATGTTATTTCCCCTTTTAAAATCTTCTCCAAAATGGTGTCCATGTTGCCGCCTCCATTTCAAATGAAACGCGCTTAGTTGTCGTGCGCAAGATCCGGGAGATGGAGAGCGTAAAATTTGGCGCGAAAACCAAGCCAATAAGCAGGCTGATCATTCGTTCTATTTCAAATAACGATACCGTTGACCTTTTCACTTGGCCATATATTTCGTTGAGGGAAGAGTGATAATAAAAAGCGCAATTTAAGATGCCCAAAAGAGAATTTCCTTTCGATCAATCCTGTCCAATGCAGCTCAAGACTCATGTGAACACTACTGAATTTGAGAAGTCAAACAACATGAAAAACGTTTATGGTAGGTACCTGACTGAATTAAAATTGTGCAAACGGCTTTAACATGGCTTTTTAAAATCGGTTTCGATCAAAAATAATTTCTGCTTTTGAAACACTTTCAGCGAAAACACTTGAAGCTTTGCGAGAAGGAATGGAGCGATACGAGAATGGTGAAATTGAGGAAGGAATATGCAATGAAACCGTCAACTGTGATCGTTGTCGCCAAACGAAGACTGGTCGCGGTGTGAAGTGTACGTTCTGTGAACGGAACGCATGCGACGATTGCAGGCGAGAGTGTGCACACTGCGACAAGATGTTTTGTCTTTTGTGTTTGGTTGCCAAGTAAGTTGTAGCTAGTTTTGGTCTGATGTTCTTACTAGTAGTGCATTTATTATTTTGAACAAATAATTACATTATAAATATCAGACGGTTATGAACTAGTAAGAATTTGTTTATTTTGATTGACTTTGCTTAATTTTATTTTGCTTTCTTCGAGTTGATTATCAGGGACTGTTTGATCTCTTATGACATGTATGATTTACAATCTATTCCAGCGTCCATGATTTTAAAATAAGTAATCCGTTAAAAACTATTGTTCGATTCAAAGTTCAAATGTGTAACCGTACGACGGAAACAAGTAAACGATAGTTCACACTTTGAAAACGGTTTCAAAAGCATTTTACCCGGATAGGTTTGTTAACTGTGCATTATAAGAAACCCTGTGGTTATGAAATGTTTCGTTTCCCATAACCCAACCTACCCATTTCTGGAAAAGTAAATACAGAAAAAAAACTGGCACACTCTTTGAACAGCAAAATTTCAATAGTTACAATATAATGGGTCAATCAATTTGAAGAACACTGCCCCTCCCTCACGCCCTCTCTCTGGGCATTTGAAATTTTAAAGATTGGTATTATACAAATTTTTGCACCCACTGGGCCAAAATTGCATTCAATTGCCTTATGTAAGCATATTTTTTTATTGAATGTTTCCCTGTGTGATCAATTAATATTATAGAATTTCTCAAAGTAATGTTTTAGGTTTTGGTGCTGGAGCAGGGGTCAAAATCAAATACCAGTGGGTTATCTGAGGGAGGGGTGGGGGGTGTTGAAGCTTTGAATTGATTTGCCCATAACTTAAATTCAAATTCTCTATTCTATTTCAAAGCAGATTATTGAGACTAAATTTTCAATGGAAAATGTTTATGGCAAATTTCTTACCAATATATTATGTTGCAAATTTTCTTATTAAGAATAAAAGCTACCAATCAAGCCTGTACATTCCGACTTAACTTAAACTCGGGTTCCTTTCATCAGTTATCACTGTTATCTTATGTTACTTTTTGTCCAATGGACTAACCAAATTTGACAAAAAAATGACAGAAATGGGTTTATGAAACATTTTATAGCAATGGCCTTAGGTTGGTGGAGATACAGACAAGATTTTCATTTCTTTCTAAAAATTCTGTAAATTTTTCTCAGACTTTGCAAAAAGAGAATTATTGAGGCCCATTAACCAAGAATAATGATACTGCCCATTGCTTTAACCCTTTAACTCCCAAGATCTGATTGTTAATTCTCCTCTCTAGCTACTACACATTTCCTTGTAAATTAGTTATGGGAACTTGGTGTGAGATCAAGATAGCAGCTTCTACCTATACCTGATAAGTTTGAATAATCTCATTACCTATTTGCTGGAGAATTTATGGATATTATAGTGAGAAGTTTCATGTTAATCACTTCTGGGAGTTAAAGGGTTAACCAAGGTTTTAATTGGAGCTTTACCTCATAATCATAACATGAAAATGTAATTTACATTCAACATATTTTATTTTCTGTATTATTTGTACTTATTTCATTTTCATAACTTTATAATTATTTATTATTTTCAGCTATGATGAGAGGTATGAACGATATTTTTGTCTTGGAAATTTACCTCAGAGAGATGCTGGAATACATCATATCTAAAAACAAAACAAAAGCTGATCTTATATGCTGAGGTACTTCATGGTAAAAACCATTGATCTGTGAAGTTGATATAATGATATACAGCTTGGCATTTGCTCTATTATGCACTTGGTCTGATTTTGCTTGTTGAGTGTTTAAAAAAAACCACCTCCTCTCAATCATGTTCCACATTGTAATTAAAGACACTTCTCTATGGTTTTCAGGCAAGATGGTCTTGTCTTTTTGGATAACAATCAAAAAGGACTGTTGAGCTATACTGCACCTTCAAACTGTGAATTTCATCAAGCAATGGGAAGTTTTTTGGTCTTTGTTAAAGCAAACACTCTGTCAGTTTTGAGTTAGCTCATGACAATGAACCTTTGTTACTGTTAAACACAATAAATTTATCAAGTATGACAAGGTCTGTGCTATTTTTATTTATTATCTCATTCAAACCATGCTGTCACGTAGAGCTTCAGATTGTGAGCAGTTTTTCTATTTTCCAACACTTCAAACCACACCATCCCTTCGCTATAATATTATTTTAGGATATGTTGTGAGCTTCTGAACAATTCAACCATACCATTTCTTCCAAAAGAGATTATTTTAAGTATAGATCGTGAACAATGTTTTTCAATGCAATGTCTTCACTTTTCAATAAGATACCTTCACTTTCTGCTAAAGGGCTTTCAACAGCACTTTGTCACATGACATCCTTTGTCTTTAGACAATACCTCAGCCAGATTCCAAAATTGAATTTCTCAGAAATGAAACTTCTGACTTAAAATATACTGCCATGCAAGTTTTTCAGGGTCAAGAAAAAGACTAAGTAAAGAACAGATTAAACAAGTTATAGATACTTGGCGGGGGGAGTTAGAGATAATTTGCTTTAATCAAATATTTTAATAATATGAATTGGCCACCCTAGAGAGAATATAAATCTTTGTTTCTTTGTAAGTTTTACTGCAGCAAAAATTTTCCTATATACATTGCAAGACTGAAACCATCCATCCTTTAATATTTTCATCCTCGTTGACTATACTTCTAGTAATTTTTTTAGTGACCATAAGTATAGGGCTAATTTTCGTGATCAAGTAGAAGTGGAAATTTTATCTAGTGGGTGAACAGTTCTCGATGTCAACAAAGGTATCAAATTTTCGAAAAAGTCGTTAAATCTCGACTTTCCGTTATTCTTTCAGATATTTTTATTCTGGCTTAATGGAAAAGGAAGTAGAGATTTCAAATGTTCGATCTTCGATCACTACTCATCTTGTAAACACTCGCCTTCTCTCTCCCTCATGGGATAAAGAAACAATACCCAAGGAACGAGTTTGATTAACCCGCGAGAATGGCAGGATAGCGAATCTTACAAGACTTTCGACCATGCCAGTGTCATGTTTATTGCTGGTCGCGTATCGTAGAGAAATATGTCGAATCTTCCCCACGATTGACTGTTCCCTCCATTGCTATTAATGCACCGGAAACTGTTTTTAAGAGCGGGAAGACTGGGTACTATAGTTCTAGAATTTTCGAGAGATTAGGAGACTGCTGCATCAGCGACGAAGCAAATTTAGAAAGTCTGGAACAATGCACCAAAATTTAGGGAAATGAGGTAACATACAGTATAAATACGACTACCCAAAACAATGATCTAGCAGTTTCATTCTAGTCAGACTGAAATCAAGCGGCCGTCCATCGATAAAAGTAAGGATAATTAAAGGAACACGTCGTCACAAACATGGACAACGAAGGATTAATTTGTGAAAACTGCAACAGACGAGTTCCCTCAGAAAATTACGAAATGCACTTCGTACACTGCAAAAGAAACCTCAAATTGTGTTCGCTGTGCGGAGAAGCGATACAAAGAAGCAAAGAGAAAGAACACTTCGAGGAGAATCATGCGCAAATAAACTGTGTTCAGTGCGGACAAAAAACAACAAGAAGTGAAGAAGGCAATCATTTGGCTTACGAGTGTGGTAAGCGACCAATTACTTGCCATTATTGTGAACTGAGGCTACCCAGAGAAAGAATGTCAGAGCACCAGGAATTTTGCGGATCCAGAACGGAATTCTGCCACAAGTGTAGTCGATATGTTTTGGTTAAGGACTTTATGGACCATGATAGCGCATGCGACGGGGGAATAATCAATCGGCAACACGATTTGCCTGTGTCTTTGCCTTGTGAATTCTGTGGATCGCTGATTCAGCAAGATGAACTTGATGCTCATCAACGTGAATGCCAGCGTCTAGAGGAAACAGAAGGTTCTCAAATACCTCTCGTTGTAGAAGATAGCGATGGTGTGTTTCGTGAAATGGTACGAACGCCTGACAATTTCACAAGCTCGGACTCGTATGACGATATCGAAACCGAAAGTGAAGACAACAGCATTGTTGCTCTGCCTTGTGAAATCTGTGGCGAACTGTGTCCGTCTGATAAATTGATGGAACACCAGGAACAATGTATCCTAGAGGGAGAAGGCGTTCAGGGTTCTGGTTCACCCTCCGAGAACGAAGAACCTTTGCACAGAAGCGATCGATCTCACTTCCGGTTCTCGAAACTTCATCAGAATCCGATGGACAACGAGAGAGAAGATGACCCCTTCACTTTTGCGAATTTTACAATGGAAGGAGTCCCTTATGATCTCATGGCAAACATTTTCCGCGACCTGGAAGATCGACGATGGCCATTTGAAATGACGAGGAATATGTGGTCGTGAACTTGACCGACAAAATTGATTATGTAAGAGCTGAAATATGCAAATTTAACCTGTGTTTGTGTATCTCAAGTTCGAGTACAGGTATAATTTTTTTTTCTTGTCGTGTTTTTGAAAAAGTAAGTCAAAATAGAAAACATTGTAACTCGAACCTTTTCAATACAGCTACTTATTCTACTTCCCTTTTAATACCGAATATTTGTATGAGGTGGGTTTCGGAGCTTCTAAAATATTAAACTGAGTACTCCTTGGTTGTATTTGAATAAACGCAGTAAATGTCAAACCTCAACCCGTTCACTGCTTCTGTATCTAGTTACTATAAGAGGTGTTAAAGAAATAAACCCCAACATTTTTGTGATTTATAAGTTTATTTTTACATTTCACGTGCTTTGTTAATACAAACTGACTACACTGGCATTTAAACAAGTCTGCGACAACTTAAGCAATAAATAGCACCATCTATCAACTAATAAGCGTAATAACCCATGCGGGAAGTTAAAGAACACGAGAAAAGTCTGTAAAGCCGGTAAAACAATAGTAAGTGTGGTCTATTCCATGGGTTACAATAGAATATAGGTCAATACCTTACTTATTTTGTAAAACGTAGTATTCCAGAATGAATTATTTCCAACCGAGCTACTTACTATGACAAAAGTAGACAAAAAATCTGGAGCCTAACAGACAATTTCGTTAATGGTTCCTCAAAAAAGGTGCGCATTACAACTATTCTAATTTTTAATGACCACAAGTGCCCACATATTTCCTAACATACTCGGTAATATAAAAGGAACGAAAAATTGCATAATCCGAAGGATCGTTATCGGCAACTAAAGAGCGTGCTCACTAAAGCTAAAACTATTGAAAACTTGTTGCTAGGTAGTGTCTATTTTACTATCAAATCAGTGCACTCACTTAATCGAAAAAACAAAGTTTGTTGTCGTGGTCCCACAGGAGTGCTGTTTTATACTCAGGATAATGACTTTACGCACAGGAACGCAGGAGCTACTAAAAAATTATCTGGTGAGAGAAAGAATAAAATTTGTTTAATATGCCCCAATGCACTTTTCCAGTCTTTCATATTTCAAAAAAGTTATTCTGAGTAGCACACATATTTGGCGCGCGTGACCGAGAAGAGATTTATTTTCATTTCCAACCATAAAAGCGGTTTTGAATTGAGAGGCATTCCCGCGTCCGCTAAAACAAGGTCAGATATAAGAGAAGAAGAATATGATTGAAAGTACGATGACAAAAAATAAAAAAGATATTATCATACAATTGTCTTACTTTTTTACAAAAAACGCTCGTCTTGTTCTTGTGGATGTCGTCTTCTTTCGATTACACCGCCGGCATTAATATTTCCTTGTTGTTCTGTCATTTCCACAGCCCCGCTACGACGAGGAGTGGGTTCCCTGGCTGTTCCTGAAGCATTCTGATCATGAATGGTTCTGGTGGGTTCCGTAAGAGCTCCTTGATTCGCTGGTGCTTGCATGTTTCTTACCATGTGGAGGAGTTTGATAATACAGCACGTTACCACAATCATCCAGATAAAGTAAGCAGCATTAAGTGGCTCAGTCTCCATGACAGCTCAGTTCCTGCGGCAAAATTGACAAAAGCCTCTAAAGAAGAGTCCAGCAAGGAAATTAAATGTTTTTTTAAGTAAAAAGTAGAACTTACTTATTCACTAACTCTCTCTCCTTCAGATACACGAGGTTTTTGTGTTTATAGGCAAAGACCGAGTCAGTTGTGGTAGTAAAGACACCGAGGAGAAGAGATAAATAAGTATGATCACCCCCCTGCGGTAACGAACAAATCTTACACCGCGGCACGGTATAATGTTTTCCCATCCTGACCAAACAAATGAATAAAACAAAGGAAAAGCTCCCGTAATCATTTGGCAGTTTCGTTCTCGTCAAATGATCACATATAGAGCTATTGTGAAATATTTTCATTCATAACGTAGTTTTTAATCACTATGAAAGAATCTTTTGATTAGTTTGCAAATAGAAATCCTCCGCATAAGAAGTAAGAATATTATGAACAGAAATCATACACGCTAGACTTTGAACGATAAAATTCATGTTGTTTTTTTTTTCGCTGGCTCTTACAACTCTCGTTCATGTTTTTCATCAAATTCGTATTGATGATGTTTATTTTCATCTTGCACTTCGTTTCTTTATGGTATAAAGGGGTAAGTTTCTAAAGAAACTGTGGTGGTGCTGCGTCGGTGGGAGAGTATAGCAGGTAATTTAGTGTTAACAACTGGGTTGAAAACGAAAATTAGCCACCGTAAAGGCTAAAAAAAAGCAGCTGACGTTTCGAGCGTTAGCCCTTCGTCAATCGCTCTGACGAAGGGCTAACGCTCGAAACGTCAGCTTTTTTACCCTTTACGGTGGCTAATTTACGTTTTCAACCCAGTTGTTAACACTAAATTACCCTCTTCATGGTATATTTTTGTCAACTTTTTGTTGTGTTTTTTCATTGTCCAGCTTTTCTTCTCGTATCTATTCCTTTTTTTATCCTCTATTTATTTGTTTCTTTATTTGTTGCGACAAATCCACGAGAACCTAATTAAAGAGGGCAATTCTCCTAGGGAAATTTATGCCTGGTTTACGTCAAACAAAAGGTAACGTATTCATCTCGTTTTTATTAATCTTGATTCCAAAATTATGATGTTTAAAGAAAGCGACAAAACTTTTGAGTCTGTTAAACATGTTTCGACAGAGACTTCTGTCATCTTCAGTTAATTACTGTACAAAGCGTTGAAAGTTGAATTATATAGTAAGTAGAACAATACTAATTATGATGAATAGTGACAACAAGAAAAGAGGTAAAGCATGAAAGGGTGAGAATTAAAAAGATAGTTTTAGATTTACATGGTGTAATTGCTCATTCAAGGATGGTTGTTCTCTTTGAATACGAATAGCCTCTTTTATCTTAAGTTGAAAGCTGGTAGAGGCGTGATCTAAAACATGGAAGTTATCTGCTAAACACAAGGGGAGACAATGTGGTTCTCCATCCTTGAATGAACATTTACACCTTGTAAATCTAAAATTAAATGATTGAAAATTATGAAAACCATTAATTATTCCACGTGGGCTTCATGAACTGACGATTATATCGAAGCATTACGGATAGCAATTACGAAATAAAGGAATTTAGACCTGCGATTTCCTCGCTTGATGCTCATCAACGTGAATGCCAGCATCTAGAGGAAACAGAAGATTCTCAAATCCCTCTCGTTCTGGAAGATATCGATGGTGTGTTTCGTGAAATGGTACGAACGCCTGACTATTTCACAAGCTCGGACTCACATGACAATATCGAAACCGAAAGTGAGGACAACAGTATTGTTGCTCTGCCTTGTGAAATCTGTGGTGAACTGTGTCCATCTGATAAATTAATAGAACACCAGGAAAAATGTATCCGAGAGAGAGAAGGCGTTTAGGGTTCTGGTTAAGTAAGTAAGTAAGTAAGTTTATTAAATCTCCACCCAGTGGCTCTTCCGATTTAATTTACTGTAATTGGAAATCGAATAAAACTACCTATAAAAGTTACAATAATATCATGATAAAGAAACAAATACAAATAAATAACTAACATATTCTTAAAATGCTATACCTAAAAAAGATTCCTACGGACTGTCATATATTTTGCGCTTTACTGCACGCTTGAAAACTGAGAGTGTTGCGCTATTTTTCGTTTCTTCACTTATAAGAAAATTCCAGGCAGTGATTGCTCTATAACTGAAAGACCTCTGTGCTGTGGCTGTCCTACAAAAGGATACAACTAAGTTGTCTCTAGATCTAGTATTGTAGCTGTGGATAGCTGATCTTTTGTTGACGTAACACTCTAAATATGGTGGTGCAAGGCCATTGACTATTTTGTATAGCATCGTAACATCACGCACTAATAACTGGTTCTCAATAGAAGGCCAACACAGTGCCCGCAGCACTGGTGAGATGTGATCAAACTTCTTGTTGTTTGTCAACACACGGGCAGCAAAGTTTTGTACAAGTTGCAATTTGTTTATGTTGTGCGCAAACGTTCCCGATCAAACTGTCGAGCAATAAAAGAGTTTACAAAAAACTAGACAATTCAGAATGGTGGTTAGTACTGATTTGGAAAACAAGTGCTTAGCTCTACTTATCTGGCATAGGGTAGAAATAAGAGACGAGGTCAGGGTGTTAACGTGTTCATTAAAAGTAAGGTTCGAGTCCAATATTATACTCAGGTCTTTGACTGAGGACACAGGAATTAAGTGTTGCCCAAGAAAGGGGACTCTGATATCAGGAACCCCACTTAAAAGCTGTTTCGTTCCAAAAAGAATAAGTTTAGTTTTGTCTGGATTAATAAGCAACTTATTCGTACAGCATCAGGAGGCAATAAGTCGGAGATCTTCCGAGACTTTTGCAAGGCAGGAGTCAATATTATTCGATGAACACGAAAGATAAATCTTTGTGTCATCAACATATGACTCTACGCTTGAAAACTTAACAACGGACGGTAGGTCGTTCATGTAAAGGCTGAACATAAGAGGCCCTAGAGTGGACCCCTGTGGTACGCAATGTGTGACAGTTAACTCACTAGAGCGAGATGTACCGAGTCGTGTTGACTGCATTCGGTTTGTAAGATAGCTCTCAAACCACTTTGACGCTTCATTTGACGCACCGAGCCCTCTCAGCTTGGTGAGGAGAGTTCTATGACATATGCTGTCAAAAGCCTTTCTCAAGTCGATTAGGGCCATAGCCGTGATCTCCTTTTTATCCATCGCTTTATATATATGACCGGTGACAAGCAAACTCAGTGTTTCAGTAGAATGGTGTTTATGGTTTCCGCTTTGATGACAGGTGAGGTTGTCTTGTTGAGTCAAATAATCACTGAACTGATTCAGGGCGATCTTTTCGGTCACTTTGGAAAGTACAGGCAATAATGAAATAGGGCGATTGTTACTTGGAATCTCGTGATCACCATCTTTAAGATGTGGCACTACTTCCGACTTCTTCCAGGCCTTAGGGAAAACATAGTTCCTAAAAGAAGAGTTTATCAATGTAGTTAGAGTTGGTAATATATACGGTAAACAGTCCTTGATCACAAACACTGGAATTCTGTCATAGCCTGGAGCTTTATTAGAAGGCATAGCCATAATCACTTTTCGCACATCTTCACTGGTTATTGCTTTGAAGTCAAACAGTTCATCACAATGAGTTGAACCGAGATAAACAGGAGTAGTTGGTAGGCCGTGAAGGCGAGCGAGCTCCGTAGAGTCATCGGCGGCCTTCTGTAGAAGGTAGTTCAGCCGCCGAAAACGAAGAACCTTTGCACAAAAGCGATCTTACTCACTTCCGGTTCTCAAGACTCCATCAGAACCTGTTGAACAATGGGAGAGAAGATGACCCCTTCACTTTTGCGAATTTTACTTTGAAAGGAGCCTCTTTATGATCTCATGGCAAACATTTTCCTCGACCTGGAAGATCTGATGATGAGGAATATGTGGTCGTGAACTTGACTGACAAAACATTTAATGCAAGAGCTGAAATATGCAAATTTAACCTGTGTTCAGGTGTATCAAGTTCGAGCGAGGTATAATTTTTTTTCTTGCCGTGTTTTAAAAAAGTTATTCAAGATAGAAAACATTGTAACTCCAACCTTTTTAATACAGCTATTTATACTACTTCCCTTTTAAAACCGACATTTTTTTGAGGTAGGTTTAGGAGGTTCTAAAATATTAAACTGAGTACTATTGTTTGGCTGTGTTTGAATAAACGCGGTAGAGGTCAAACCTTAAAGCGGTCACCACTTCTGTGTCTGTAGTTACTGTAAGAGGCGTTAAAGAAATAAACCCTCGCAGGCATAATCAACTTTTTTTCGATTTATAAGCTTATTTTTACCTTTAAGGTGCTTAGTTAACACAAATGAACTATATTGGCCTTAAAACAACTCTACGACAACTTAAGCAATGAACAGCACCATCCATCAGCTAATCAGCGTAATAACCCACGCAGAATTTTTGGAGAACACGAGGAAAGACTGTAAAGCCGG